CATTGACTTTCTTTTGCTTTTCCCTGTTGGGCACCATTGTTTATACTACATATGGTTGGACAGGTTATGCATGTGTGGATTAAACAGAACATACTCTTCCTGGTTTGTCCTGTGACAGGGGAGTCAACCCCAGATTTCCTTAGTATCTCTTGGATGTGAGACACAGTACCTTTGAAATGAAACTGCTGGTGCTGGCAGAGACACAGAAGTCAGTGGAGATGACTACAGATGTGACAGCAGAGCTAAAGATGGCTCTGCTGGCCATCATGATTTTCAGCTGATTCACCAGCAACTGAATCACTTCCACAAAATTATTCTGTTGGTCTTGACTGAGGAGTTTGTCCACAGTTTGCATGTGGTAGAGTCTAATCCCCTACCAACGTCTGAGTAATCAAAGAGACAGATCTTGCAGATTCTCTCACAAAACTTTTCATCTTTTTCTTCTGGTGATCTACTGTTCTCCAAGTGTCCATGAATCCTGCACAGTGGTGGTGGTTTAAAGGACTTAGAAGTTCCTGCTAAGAAAATAAAAAAGTGTATTATATTTGGAAAACTAATAGGATTCTCCTACATCTTCTGTGTTACAGTGAGTTGGAAATCAATTATTTCTACCATTTTTGAGTTTTATGAACTTGCTTGTTGCCCTGTAAAAAACATATCTATTTCTTGAAATGAACATCTGAGTGGGAATGGAAAGGAAGAATGAGTGCTACCACACATTCCAGCATGGTTTGAAGGTAAGAAGCTATTAAGAGTATCAGTGTGCTTGAACTGCTAAGGATCATAAAAAAAAATGGACAAGTAGCAAACCCTTATAGGCCAGCACAGGAATGACATCTACCTTAGCAATGGAAATTGGACAGCATCTGATAGAATAGCCCACAGGTGAGGGCTGAGTCTAGATAAACAACTGTGCAGTAATAGTAATTTTGTTTAATGACAATTCTGTTAATCAACCAGAATATACTTCTCACAAGTTTTTAAGTACCAAGTGGAAAAAAAGGAAGTGGAAAATGTAAGAAGATATAACTGGTTTGTTGAGATGTGATGCTGCTGCTCAAAAACATCAGGTGAATTCTTTCCCTCACCTCCCTTCTGCACCTCACCATTCACAACTGGGAACAGGAATGGTGGGGAACAGAGATGGCAATCAAGTTCAGAAGGGGATTTTTACTTCTGAATATAATTTCTAGGATCTATATTTTTAAACAAAGCTGTCAGACTAGAGTTTCAGGAGGTAAATCTAGCTGGCACTTTGAGTGTTCTCTGCCTGATTTCCAAGTGCCCAGAGAGTAGTATATAAACTTTACAACTGCTAAGTATCTCTTGGTGTGTCTGGGCTGGCAGATGTGCTTATCACTGAAAGCCATCACTGCACTGTATGGAAGGGAGAGGAAGGGAGAGGAAAAAGAGTTTTCATTGAGATATGTGCAGTGCAACATTGCCCATGGGAAGTATGTCAGATCTGATGTCTTCCCTCACCTACTAAAATGGTGTTTCCTTGCTCTCTTTGGCACTGGGCAAAGCTTTTACTCAAGTACTTTAAAAACTGTATTTTGACATCAGTATGAAGAAATTTCTAAAATCAACGAATTTCTAAAATAAGCAAATTTCTAAAATTTTTAATGTCCTTGCTAACCCTGCATTTTTTCATGGAATCTTGTGAAAAATGGTTATAGACGCAGTTGGGAAGGCTAGACAGTTATCTATTTAAATCTTTGTCTTCAGGTTCTACCCTATGCTCTGGGATATGAAGATGAGGAAGAAAAAAGGTGGCTTCAGGATACAACTTCTGTTAGTTAAAGCAAGACGGATATCACCAATATAGAATGTATTTGTCATAGCTCATAATTTTCTCCTTCCTAAGTCTCCCCAAACATAATAATGTACAGGTGGCACTTACCATAGCGAGGGTCCTGATGTTCTCTTTCTTCAGGTTGATTATTGTGTACATTCCAAAGGGCTCTTGAGGTGTCTCTGAGTTCATTCAGCCATGCAGACTTGTGGGTTTTGTTCCAGTCTGATTGCAAGACTCTGTCATGGTCTCTTCTGCAAATGACTCCATGCCCCTATTTTCAGCCTAAAAATCATACTGCTGCCATGAAAGACAGAGCTGTCTGTTTGCAAGGATGGCAGTGGCAGAGCCTATTAGAGAAGGACTTATACAAAATGTATTTATGGGCCTGCAACACTGTCCCTGACTTTTAGCACAAATCTTTAGATAACTGTGCATGAAAGTACAGCATTTGTCTCTACTTTCACCTGGATGGTCTTGGGGCTTGGTAGTTTTGGTGCTACTTCTACTAAACCATAATCTTATGTTTTAGCACAGGGGTGTGTGACAATAGCATGCGTACTTTCTCTACTGTTGGCAAAGACTAAATAATAAGAAAGTTTAAACCAGACTTCTTGGACAATGAAGGACTTAGGGCCCTGAAAATAAATATATATGGGCAGAAAGCCTCTAATGAGGAAATGTGATATTATGCCTGGAAGACTAAGGTATAGGTAAACAGAGGTAGTGGTGCCAGGCTGCCCAAACGCTATCTTCACTCTATCCATTGGGTGAGTAGGAGAACAAGGCACAATTTACTATGTGCTCTGCTCCAAAGTGCCTTGAATTCAGCTTGCATTCAGGCTATCCATGACATTCTATGACATTCCATCCCATCCCATCCCATCCCATCCCATCCCATCCCATCCCATCCCATCCCATCCCATCCCATCCCATCCCATCCCGTCTGTGCCCTCACCCCAACGGTTTTCTATTTGAAGCAATGAAGAAAGCAAGGTTTGCTCAACATGGATGGTGAAACAGTCAGACAGTAGTTTAACTTCTCTAACGATTTCCAAAGTTATTCCTTTACAAGCCATGAAAAGCAAAGTGGAAACTCTGCTCTTCATGTGACCTGAAATCTTGGCGCTCTGTGTTGAGCCACTAACTACAATTTTTTCTCATCTGCTTTAGAATTTCAGTCAATCCCTGCAGAGGGCAGTAATGATATTTTTCTCACTGAGCACATAGTATGCAAGTTTTTGTTACTTTTTTTTTCCCTGTAAATAACACACTGGGTAAGATGAGTAAGTACTCTGAAGAAATACTAACCATCTTTGTTGGGTGTGCACATGCTACGTCTTACTCATATGACTGGAGTATACTAATAACCAAGATCTGAGATGATCTAGATGTATGCACCTTCTTGGTAAGCCAAATAATTTGGTCATGCAATTTCATTTTTTGTATTATTTTGGCTCAGTAGGGAGGCAATATAAGGAACAGAAATCCAAATTGAATATCTAATGGTCCACTTGTTCTTTAAATCTTTGAAATGAGAAGTGCATTGTTCCAAAAGTGCCCTCTTCGAAATCAATAGTCTACTTGCGGCATTCAGCATCACTCAACATGGATGACTGTGTTGTGCCATATATTACAAAAAGGAATCTTTTAGTTGCGGATTTTAAAAAGATTAGATATTGTGGATATCAGTAGAAAATATATCTGATTACTGAACTTAACATCTGTTTAATTCACAAAATTATGTGACTAAGTTTTGTTTTTTGAGTCAGATTATCACTGCCAGTTCTGGCTGGATTACAGTACACTCAAACTTGATATATTTGTCATTCAGTTGCCTGGGACATCAACTTGCAAAGAAATTACAGGTTAATTCAGATGATATAAAGCAATGTCATAGAAAGAGATTTCCAACTAATTATTATTTTTACACTGCAGGAAATATCTCCTGTGACAATTCATGAGTGTAGCAAAAGAGGAGATGAATTCTTTTCAAAAAAGTTGTAGTACATTTGACAACAGGAATACCTACCTACACAATGTCATGGTGGGTGCAGCTAGTAATGTATAATTACTTAAAAGTGTTGTTAGAGTACACTTGATAGGGTTCAGATTTAGGTGTGACAAATAGTTTTAAATATACTTCACTGGTTTTAAAAATACTTATGAACTTTTTTTTTTTTTTTTTCTCAAGTACCACTCACTACAGCAGTTCAGGAGCTGATTATAACTCTGACAGGCATTTTCATCAGTACAGCATTCAACAGAGAAGATGGTTAAACAAAAAACAAGCTAAGGTCTTCTGGTCTTTGAAGTGCAGAACCCTCCATTTATACATTGCTTCCTTGCCCTTTGAGAGTCACACTAACTCACTTAAAATCTGTGCCTTGTTAAAATTTCATTTGCCCCTCCACAACCTTACATGTACTCTTAGCAACCCATAAGAGCATTTTCTGAATAATTGGCTGAAGCACCCTTTTATCTTTCAGTTTAACTGTGAAAGAGATGTCAATCCATATTCATAAACATGGAACAACTGTCGAATTAATGTATGAGTGTGTGCTGTACGAGTAGATAAAACACAATCATTTTTGTTGCCTCATTTTAGTGACACAAATCACAAGAGATATGAATGCAATTTTCCCTGTTATCACACAGAATAAGGGCATAAATTTCCAAACTTATCAATCCTGAGAACTGCTGAGAAAGTAACTGGCTGAAAACAGGTACTCTCAGCCTTAACTTTAGTCATGCAGTTCCCTTCTATAGTTTGCCTTGATGGTGAATGACAACTGCTGGCATGTATTTACCATCATAACTATTTGGGTTTTTTTATTTCCTTCTGGCTTTGCCCAAAACATTGTAAAAGCCATAAATATTAGATGGCCTTGACAAATTCATACTAGCGAAAGCAAAAAAATTGCACAAAGAAGTTCAGAATGACATCAAATCAGGAAATGATGTAATGGCCTGCTTTAGAAAAAATACACTTTACGTGTACAAATTTAAAAGCATAGCTATTTGTATTTTTGCTTCATCTGAATAATTACGCATATGAACTGACTGCCATTATTACTTTTGACAGATTTTTAAAGTACTGAGATTTTATAGAATTTAGTGTGGAAAATAAAACTGGAAATTTACATGAAATGCTGAGGAAAGAAAATGTACTTTGAAAAATTCACGTATAAGTACAAATACTTACCTTTGTGTTGGGGTAGCATAACTGTTATCATATGCCTCATAGCTTGGTTCATCATAGTCACCTCCATATCCATCATCATACCCCTAAGGGAAAAACAGAACGCCACAGCTTAGAAGAGAGATAAATCAAAGCATATTATCAGTTTGTAGAAGTAATTTGTGTCAATATATACATACTATGTTTGCCCCATATTATGTAAAACATGCAGCCTACTGATGAGAATTGTGATTTGTGAAAAACAACATGTAATTGCAAGGGTAAAAAAAAAAATCCATTATTCACTTAAGAACTTGGCTTATTTATTGATAAACTGTGGTGTCCAAACCACAGCGCCTCGGTGGGATCTATGTAGAATACTGATGAATTATAATAGAAACAATGATTTCTTATTTGTCATATAAGCAGTTTCATAAATACCTATAAATGAAATGCAAAAATGGCAGGAAAAATATATTGACTATACAACATTATTAAGAATATTATTGTTATAGGATCATAATATTCAGTGTATTTAACACTCCCCCAACCTGTGAGAAAAAAAATCTGTGCATGTTTGCGAAGGAAGCAATGGGTTATGGTTTTTTATAAATAAGTTACAGTAAGCACTTTTTCCTTCATTGAGCATCCCATTCTCTTTAAAGGCATGTTTTTCTGTGACAAGTTAATGAAGACTTTAATGCAGATTTCTCCCATCTTACTTACGGTTCCTAACTGAAGGGCTCAGACCTTCTGTCTGCCTAAGCTAGAGAAACACAAGTAACTTCAGAAGGTAGTTCAGCTCATCTAATGCCTGCATCTTCTACTGAGGGTGCAGTGGGCAATTATGATCCATTGTAGCTGCCTCTGAACCAAGGAGTGCTCAGGAACCAGAAAATAAAAAAGGTATGTAATCCAGTAGATGACTTTTGATATGCTCTTTTCATAGAACAGAGTAGGCAAAAAATGATGCATGGAAACAGTTTTTTCGTTCTAAATTTTGGGAGCCAGTTTTCTTAGTTAAATAGAAACCAAACATTTTGTAGTCACAATAAAAATTTCCTATTATAGGAAGTGCCAAAGGAAATAGTGGGCTTAAAAATCTTTGACTCAATATTAATTACACCAGAATGCAATTTGGATTTTTTTTTACTTGCAAGTTATGTAAAGTTTTGCTAGCTTGAGCTAGAAGGGACAGCATGAGGCAGCTCCAAAATAACAGCAGTCCAATAACAGTTACTCTGGTACAGTATCATAACCACACAAAGTACAGAATCACTTTGTTAATTCATTATTTCTGGTAATTAAACTCTGTAATGGTATTGAACTAAACTTCACTGGTACACCTGATTTAAGTAAAACATAAAATGAGGATATATCCAGTTATGTCTCATCAGGTCAAGCACATTAAATATACTTCTCCCTGTGGTCTCCCACCCAGCAGTGAGGGTGGGTGTGGATTCCAGGTGGGAGTTTTCACCCCTGAGGGGTGCTGCATGGCCTAAAAGAAGGACAGGACATTGGATGGTGACTACTTAGGCATTCATATCAGCTTGCAGCAAGGGAAAGCTTTTCTTGAAGAGGGAGAGTCCTGTTTTGGGGAATGGCCTTTCCCAGAATTTGAAGTGTACAAAAAACCTCATCTTCCATTTTTAGGTGGAAGCTCATCAGTTTGACTTGCCTTCATTAATATAAACACAGAAAAAAGTACAGTTAAACACCTATCCCTGCAGACTACAGCGACATATTTAACATCATACAGCTAAATACACAATCTTGCTTCTGGGGACAGGATAAGAGAAACAATGAACCACAGGAGATAGATGTTAGCCACATTGATCAGTATGCTACTGGGTGGGATCCTGCTATCGTGAAGATGAGGGTGATGCAAATTCCTGTACGAAGCTGAATAGCTAGAGGAAAGACATTTCAGCATGCTTACCCACCACATGAGAGAACAGGAAGGGCAACAATTATGAATTAGTTTTCTCAGTTTCTTGATGCCTGAGGTGGATTAACGTTCAGCACCAGCAGGGCAGAGAACACTTGTTAGTATCTGACATTTCTGTGGGTTCATGTTACAGATTGTAACAGCCTCCCTGAAGGCTCAGAGCGGGTCAATACAGTGCAAATGGTTCAAGTCGAATGGTTGGAAAACAGTAAAAAAAGCATAATGTATCTGTAATAAAGAAAAAATATTTTCTAGATTATGTTCTCTTATTTGTGTTCGCCTGCATCAGAATTATCTTCTAATACTACAGGTGAACTATTTCTGCAAAGCACATACTAGCTTTTTTTTTTTGACCCCCTTGTCCCAAAGAAGCCTTTAGGCATCTAGAATTGAGATCCAAAACAGCTCCTTTCACATCCTTGAAGTGCCTCAAACTTCTCTTTAACCTTCAGCTCCACAGAACCTACAACTTTAATGTCTGAAAGTACTTCTTCCACGCACATTTTGAGAGATGAAATACTCAGGTCTCACGTAGATCCTGTTGAGATCCGGAAGCTACAAATTTGAGGACGTTCAAATTCACATATTCTACACTCTGTGTGTGGTGAGGAGAGTGCTCCCAAGAGCAGTTCTGTATAAATCCTGAGACCATAACCCAGGATGCCTTCTCCAAATGCATTGCAATCTTTTAATGAGCAATAGAGTTAGACTCCTCCATGCACTCTCTAGGTCTGTTAGTTCTCTTACTAAAGCCAAACCAACCAACCATATTAAACTGATAAACACTCTGTATATGTATGGTGATAGGAACAGAGCTGTCCTCTTAGACAATCTAAGTTACTAGTGCTATATCACCACTTCACAGAAGGAAAAAGGATTGATTACCCACGCTGTCAGTGTTTTGAATGTGACTTTTTTCTTCTGTAATTTTTATAATTTCATTTATTTCACCAGAAATATTCACATGTATGTGTTTAACAGACCATCCACCCTTTAAGCTGTAATTCCTTTTAATTGAAGTCTGTGCTTTTCAAGCAGAAATCTCAGGTAAAGTGACTTTGGGTGTGATCTGATCAATGTCTACCCCTGAAGAATCCATGTCCACTCTCATCAGACTATTAGAACACCTGTATACAAAGTTGATAGGGTCAAGCCACCTGGTTTCAGTGAAAGGGAGGAAAGCACTTCCCTAAATCTTCACAGCTCTTTGAAGAGGTCAATAAGAGCACAGACAGGCAGGACCTGAGGAAAAACAGGTTCCTCTGAACCTTTGAAGTTACAGATGAGGTTTAATTTTCAAGGCTACCCAAGGGGTTGGTGCTGATTGCCTGGGAAGACTTTTCCTCTGTGAGGAGACTTTTTACACATGGTAGCTGCCACCACTCAGAAGAAAAATCCTACTGGAATGAACTGTGTACAGTTCTGGTGTCCTCAACATAAAAAGGACATGGAACTGTTGGAACAAGTCCAGAGGAGAGCCATGAGGATGATCAGGGGACTGGAGCACCTCCCATATGAAGATAGGCTGAGAAAGTTGGGTCTGTTCAGCCTGGAGAAGAGAAGGCTGCGTGGAGACCTCATAGCAGCCTTCCAATATCTGAAAGGGGCCTATAGAGATGCACTTCATTAGAGACTGTAGTGACAGGACAAGGGGTAATGGGTTAAAACTTAAACAGGGGAAGTTTAGATTGGATATAAGGAGGAAATTCTTTCCTGTTAGGGTGGTGAGGCACTGGAATGGGTTGCCCAAGGAGGTTGTGAATGCTCCATCCCTGGCAGTGTTCAAGGCCAGGTTGGACGAGGCCTTGGGTGATATGGTTTAGAGCGAGGTGTCCCTGCCCATGGCAGGGGGGTTGGAACTTGATGATCTTAAGGTCCTTTCCATCCCTAACTGTTCTAAGATTCTATGATACTATGATTCTATAAGCAAGAGGAACTACTAGAAATAGTCAAAGGCAAACTGATAGCCATTTCTAGGGTAGGATTTTGTGCCAGGGTATTTTTATCTCAGGTATTTCTCATTAAAATATCTTTCTGAAACATAAGAAAAAGACCTCTTTAATTTGTGTCAGGGAAAAGGAAAGTCAGTCTTTCAGTGACTAGGATTTGCTCTAGCCTTACAGTGCTACATCCTTAAGTAAAGATAAAGGAACAGAAAGGCTAACAATGTTTACAAAAATATCTGGATGATTTTTAGGGAGTTTGGTATAGTTTAGAATTAAAAAATAGTAAATAATAAAAGAGGAAAATATTAAAATACAGCTAAATTCAAGACATAAATTAATTGAAAATGAACCTATTTAAGTAACACAGCAGCCTTATCAGAAGGGCGCCTACAAAGATGCTGCGGAGGGATTCTTCATTAGGGACTATAGTGATAGGACAAGGGGTAATGGGTTCAAAGTTTAGATTGCATATAAGGAAGAAGTTCTTTACTGTTAGGGTGGTGAGGCACTGGAATGGGTTGCCCAAAGAAGTGGTAAATGCACCATCCCTGGCAGTGTTCAAGGCCAGGTTGGACAGAACCTTGGGTGACATGGTCTAGTGTGAGGCGTCCTTGCCCATGGCAGGGGGGTTGAAACTAGTTGATGGACCTTTCCAACCCAAACCATTCTGTGATTCTATGATTTACCAGTCTTTGCCTACAATGTGAAGACAGGCAAAACTCTCTGAAGAATCCCAGAATAGCACATAAACTTAGCACTGGGAACACTCACTTCAGGAGCAAATACACAGTGCTCTATCAGTGATAAAAAGAAATTGTAGTCAGGGAAAAAAGGGATGTATAAGAATAAAAGGGACATAATTGGAAGAAAAGCTTATACTCTACTACCTGAGAAAATGTTAAGTATCTATTTGATTCAATGCCCAAGGCACCATTGAGAAAGATTTATTTCTTTAGATTTACTCAAATCCTCTCCAAGTTTCAGGTGCTGAAACAAATATTAGATACACAAACAAAATAAATATCATCAGTAACAAGGGTATAATAACCTAATGCAAACCCATCTCTTTAAACATGAATTTTCTACTTAATGTTAAAAACCTATTTCACACAATAACAGCCCACACTCAAACGCAGCAAGTTTAAATCACCTCTTCTTTGAATAGCCTTAGAAAATAGAATTTTCACAGCATGGTCTGAAAAATGGTATC